TGGAGAGAGAGATTGATTACTGAATCCTTGTTCATTGAATCTACACCCAACACATGCAATAGAAATAATTTTGCACACATACCAGAGATTGGGAAAGCATTGCTACTAATAAAATGAAAGGATGGAAAATACCCTTATTACACCTAATTTCTTGTTCTTATGGTATACACAAATACCTTAATCACATATTATCTGGAAGAGTCCAGTAGCTAATAGTTTCTATCTTATGTTCACTAATCCAGTGAAACGTACTAGTGCATTGTGAAGAATCAGTTTGTGATTCGCATGGTCACTTCAGCGTACATCTGACCACGCTGGTTCTAGTCGGTATATTTAAAACTATATAGTGTGAGTCCCACCTGTGATTTGTTGTCATTACATTTAAATAAGATGATGAGACATCATTATTGTCTTCATGAGATGTTTACTGAATGTGTAGCCCTCCTAAAGGTGTACGAATCAGACTTTTTCAAACTGCAGAAGCAGTGGCAATTCACTTGCTAAGCCCTGAACTCTGCACACAGAAGATGTTCGTTCAGTCACTACACTTACAATGGACTTAATCTATTTTATAACCTGAAAAGTAAATTCTACCTAATCTTTTCTTTTTTTTCTGTTTCTTCATTAGTATTATTTTGTGTTCCTAATTGTAATATTTTGCATTCTCAACTGTCTTGTTCTCTACCCCCACCCGATTTCATTTCTACACCTCACTACCATTGTTATTGACCTGACCAACGCTCAATTCCTAGTCATTTATGTTACGTCATCCAACTTATTTGCTCAATTTCACTTCTAACTTAAATGGCATTATTATCTACCCCACCTCAACTTAGCCTCTACCTCTGTTGCTACCCTGATCTAAGTTGAAACATTTTAGTCAATTATATTACGTCGTCCAACTTACAGACCAATCTTACTTAGTCGCTGTCTAATTAACCTTGTTTCTATATTAGATCATTCTTGTATTACTTGGTCAATTATTATCTAAACTTTACAAACCTCATGTTCACTCACACACACAAATATAATTATATATAAATGCGATTGTACAGCTATGTGAATGGATTCGCCGTCGAAAAGAGTCTCTTCGCTGAACGTCTTCTCTTTTTCATATGACTGAATGTGTATTCATCAAAACCTTATCACAGGTGAAAGAGATGTTTCTCAATAAAAGTCGGTAAAGTTTGAACGCGAACATTTGACAGGCATTAAGAGACTATTAAAATCTAACTTACCAGTACTAAACTGAGTGCCAGTAGTACACCAAAGACTGTATCGGTATCATTCTGAAGTTAGATAATAAAACAAAACAACTTTTACACAATTATCAATAATATATACGCATAAATATAAGTAACAGCGCACACCTACGAATTATGTCCACTGTTTATTTATTCTAGAATTTATTGTTTGTGATTGCAAGAATTCAGCGAGAATTCTGGAGGTTTCCTCCTGTTTTCTATCAACCTGTGGACCTGAAATCAAGGTCCATCAAGACGACAAGTGTTTTACATGGCTGAAGTTATTGAGCTACACCTTCAAAGATAATCATGAAAAAGCGACTCTGGTTACTCCAGTAATGACAGGATAGATTTCAACAATCCCATTACACGATAAGTTGCCAAAGCTCTGAATTGGTGTCTAAATCACTTTCAGTAGAAGGTGACAATTTTTACCAAAATATCTGCAAACGTTTGACTAATAACCACTTCTATTACGCATATGAGAACCAATGTCAGTTATCGTAGATTATTTATTTATTTATAAAGATACTTACTCGATGTATAAGAGAGTAAAGTATGACAAACATGAGAGCACCGGCAAGCATCAATCCAGATATTACGTAATTCACAATATAGAACCATTTCTCACTCAGCTGTTTCATTAGGTATCCCAGTGTGACCGCCATCGCAGCCAGAAAGATAGTCAGAAACCATGATAACAGAACCCACAATTTTAAATTCCATGTTATCGCAGCGAGACCAGATGAAAGGTAATAGAGGAGACATTATAAAGTGAATGTATGTGGAATATAAGTGCTTCCTTGCAGCAAAATCTGGTGACACTATACAGTACTACATGCCCTATAAGGCAATCGAAACTGGATAAGTACCCTGCTGATGTTACCTCCAATATCCTCGGTCGACTTACACCTGATATCAGTAGTTGGCCTGCTAAATTTGGTCTACCGATATCACATGCTGGAAATTCCATAGTTGTATTAAAAATACTGCATGGAATCAAGCTACAATCAAATCAAAAAAATAAAATAGCAAATAGCTCAGGCATTGCACTGAATTCACTCTCATGTAATCACAAACGTCATGATGGAAACAGTGAAGACTTGATTGCGGCAGTTATATGTTACTGCACTTTCAATAGCTATGTGACAGTTTAGTTAATTTCCGCGGTATAAAAAGTTGCTAAAGGAAATCTTGCTGATATTTAGGCAACTTATTCAGAGTGTCCCGCTTTCGTATTTTGTGCACCTATCCGCTTAAGTAAGACTTTCATAGCTGCATAGAAGTCATCCTACGTCACATAACTGGATGCTTTCAAGACGGATCCTGTCATAATCGTATCCCATATCCAAGATGAATGTCCAGTGTTTGAGTACTGGGCTAACTTTGACTATATACATAAGATAATTAGCTTCGGTGTTGTACTATCCCGACTGAAGCATGCTTGTCAGTTGTCTGCATTTAGATTGTGGATGCATAGTGTCATCCAGGTAATAATACTGGATCACTATGTGATATTTCAAATAGACTTAGCTAATATGAAAGTACATGTAGCCAGCTTTGTAAATAACCAAGACAGATTTAATACAAATTGTGGTCTTGATAAAAATTAATGACAAATGTTGGCCCTTTTTTCACATTCATATGGGATAAAACATTTTATACCGGAATATTATGGTACTAGCAGATGACACACATTGTAATCGGAACAATTTCGGTCTCCACAGGAAACCGCCGTGAAGTTTCACTGATAACTGTATGAATTCCCAATAGCTGGTCGAGTGCAAAACAATAATTTAATTAAATGTATTACTGATTTGGCCAAGTAACCATCCTGATAAATTGTACTGATTCACTTATCTGAGTTAAGTTGAACAGGGTACACACTTTTTGATATTAGATAGAGAAAACACCAAGAGTCTCAAAGATATTTTACAAGCCTGGTATTCCGGTGAATCGTCAATTAACAGACACACTGACATAGACAAAATTTGCCAGTCGATTGAAAGGAAATCTCATTCACAAAGGTTCAAACTTCAAGTCAAAAGAACAACTGTTATTAATAAAATAGTCTGGAGGGTGTGAAAACACACAAAACAACCAATCACGTCGTTCAAATTGACCAGGATAGATGACTTATAAGCATGTGGCGAAATCTAAGAGGTCACTTGACCAAATTTAACCATGCACTGAAGGTGTTGCCTAGTTGGCCAATAAAATCTTCGCAATTAAAAGCTCACGGAACACAACTACATCAAAATTCTCCATCATATCTAGGGGCACAAACTACCGACGAGCTCAGTCGTAAAAGGCTGAGACCATAGTTGGGTGTCTACATGACTTCTTTACGGGTAGTCCACAAGCACTACTTATTAGCGTGAGTAAAATCCACCTACTTATATCAGTCAATAAGTAGTATGTATCTCCATGCATGTCTACTAGAACGAAGTTGACTGAGGTAGATCTAGTGGAATATACAGTAGTAGTTCATATTTACTTGTGTTTATCTGAAAACAAACTAACCACCCAGTATTTATTATATTCTCATCTTCAATGGCTGTTTTATTCCTTTGTACACTGCTGATTCCTTATGTTAAGTTCCGATGTCCTTCAGTGTTGCAATTTCAAACACCTACTTTTTCAGCTTTCATGCTTTGAATTGGCGGAGTCGTAGTCGGAATTTTATGTCTTCTCATCTGTTTAAAGTAAGACAGTTTAATTCTCACTCATCTTAAGTCGGTTTTCTTCGCACACGGTAACTGACGTAGGCAGTAGTTTCCGTATTGGGAAAGGATTTGGAATTCTAAAGCCAGACATTCGGTGTCATACCAACAATATTACAGAGGTTTAGTAGATTTATCTTAGGTCATTTTTTGTAGGATTGGAAAAATTGACGATTTATTATTTTATGGATGGGAAAACCTTCGTGAATAATACGCCATAAGCTTAAGAGGGACTAACTAGGTGATGAGCTTTGCTCAGCTGTTTTCTAATCGACAATGCCATCAACAGGTTATCTGATGTTGGATGGTATGTTTTGTCCCTCAGTTTGTGAAAGTCAGGCATTCTATATGTTCCTGTTGAAAAGGGAAAATAATCTGGTTAGTGTGACAGGATATATTTACAATTAAGATCACTTTAGTCTAGATTATAATGGAATAGGTCTTCGAAGTAAGCGGGTAAGGGGGGGAGATATGCTAAAGTTATCCGAAAATGATAACTGACTCACGAATTCTTCAGAGTATTTGGTAATCAAAATCAATAAAAATGAAGTGGGCTTATCAATCAGAACCACAACTCTCTTCCACAATATTCAGCGTCACATTCGACAAATTAGCGGATGTGGTCGTAGTCACTGAATCCTGAAGATCAAAGGTAATGGGGAAAATCAGTATGTGGAACAACTGACCTAATGAATCGTAGGTTAGACTACTCGCGAAAGCACCAAAAGACCACTCCATGATGAATTAATAGGAATAAACATTTACTTCTTTTGAAGAAACGTTCACCGCTTTTTGCATATCAAGTGTAAATCAGAAGAATTCTTGTAGAAAGCTGCTACCGGTCTTAGATTCATTTTTCATGCAATACAAAAGCCTTAAACAGCTCATCGATTCACTCCAACGCTAACAATGTCACTTCATTCTTCATTGGATATTCAAATGATCAAACTGGCGTAGGCGTAAGGCAGTGTTTAACATTTATCCAATTATCTTGTTCAAGATATACGACCAATTATAACTCTACAATGTTTACTTGTATAATAGAATAATAGCATATGCTTTTTAGTTTCACATACCAAGCATATTCCAGCAGCATTTCTGTGAAGAAGGTACTAAGGTAAGTTTACATCTGATTGGGTATTCTCAGCAGACATTTGATCAAAGCGATCCATTTCCTGACTACATGTGAAGTTGAATTTGAGTGAAATATCTCAGATTTCCATAAATAATTTCATTATTTTTATTTCTGGAATATACAATCACCACTTGACTGATGTCTTCAAGAAAGTGGATGATAATGGTAGGACTATTTGTTTTATTCAGATTGAATCAATAATCTTTTGAAGTACATCATTAATTTATGTATAATGATTGTACAGACAATGATCATGACTTCATTGGTGGCCAACATGTAGGAATATGAAATTTCATTTGATTTATTCATATCTTTGTTTCAGAACAGTGCTCAGGAATGTGTTGCAGTGCTTTTACTATCAATCAGTTGTTATTCTGTGAGTTTTTTGAGATGTTTTTCTTGACCCAATGCAAGTAAACATTCTCATGTGATGAAGCATGAGTAACTGAAAATCATCGGCCTTGCTGACTATAATGCATCATACTTTATTCATGATAAAAGTGTCAGTAGACGCTGAATTAAATCGTTTAACTAATCAAATCACTAAACTCATTTTCAGATTTATCGGAGCAGTCCTCGCGGGAGTATTGATTCTTGTTCCCAAAATGGAATACATCTTCCCAGTAAACTATCTGACCGCTCTGAGTGTAAGTGTATCGATTTCTTGCATTCGTATATATTTATATGTGTGCATGTATATTTCTTCCAATACCTGACCATCACAATAGATCAATGCATACAAACTAGTAATACTCGTTTCCCTTAATCAACCCAAGAATTCAACTGTTAGTTTGACAAGTGTGACGATCAGTAATCCAGGTATAGCTTGACACCTGTTAAGCATTTCACAACCAGATGAATCTAAATAAAGCTGAAATTAGGGTGGTATTCAAACCTAAAATCTCACTCAGGGAGGGCAGCCTCTGTTGACCCGATTAGAAAAAATACTATAATTTACAAAATACCTTGCAATGACTGTTAGTTAAGTCAACTGCATAAGTCACGCCACTACATTGGCGGTAGTTAGACTGTCGGAACATAAGAATTTAGCTAAAGTGAGAATGACTGACCCGGTATGGATAATTAATTAAGAAAAAAGCTCAGCGATTGCACTATGTACACTAGCACACAATCACACAACAGGATGGATGAGACAGAGTCGAAATTCCAAGTAGTAATATAATGTATATTGAATCCTTGTTCATTTAATCTACGTCCAACTTATGAAATAGTAATCACTCATCACTCATACCGGAAATATGGAAAATATCGCTCACTACCAATCATGCCAAGCGATGGGAAATAATGGAACTGTATAAATGAATTTGGTAAGTTGTCTGAGTAACTTGTCATGATTACGATCAGGAAATTGTGCTCGAAACCTCATCGGTAAGCATTACTATATCACACGGTGAGACATCACCAAAATACATTTTATCCACAACAGACGAATCATTTTCATTTACCTTTTCAAAAGGTCTTAGAAAATTGTAGCTGCGTTAGACGTTTGCATTGTAAGGTAACTTTAACATATTTCATTTCACTGAGGGCCTCACAACCCATGGTGAGTTCTCTTCCCGTACTGTTTCCTCTCAGCTTCGCATTCATATCACCCATCAGGATTCTGATGTCGCCATTTGGGACGCTGTCCATTACTGTTTGTAGTTGTCTGTAGAACGCCTCCTTCTTCTCTTGTTCTGAGACGTTTGTAGGCACATAACACTGAATGACTGTAACCTTCCTTCCTTTTGAGTTGAACCTGGCTGTCATTATCCTGGAGTAGATTGTTTCCCATTGCACGAGAGCTTTGGTTGCTGTTGGTGAAATCATGATTGCCACTCCCTCGGTGTTGTCGTGGTTTTCCTCTGGGTGGCCGGAAAAGATTATTGTCTCTCCAGTTGGTAGTTAGAACCTTCCTGTTCCGTTACATATGCTTTCGCAGATTCCCAACACCTATATTCTATATCTCCTCATTTCAGCGGTTATCTGGGCAGCCTTTCTAGTTTCATCCATTGTACGAACATTCAACGTCCCCAACCTTACTTTTGCTTTGATCGAAAGAAGCCACATCGGCTGACTGGCTTCCCGAAGGTTTTCACCAGCCTGCGTCATTTCACTTCCCCGATTCCGGCGAAAATGAGGCTATTGTTTATATTTTTAGAATTTCTAACATATTTGTGAGTTTAAGTTTCTGTAGCGATTTGGTTACGTTTTTGGGTTGGAGTTGCTAGGACCAGGACCCAAAGCCTCTCTCTTTATCCAGGCTTAGGAACGGCTAGGAAACTAGCGAGCCAGTAGTCTAGGCGAGGTTTAACATATTTCAGTGTTCACCAATTACCTGAGGAAATAACTTAACATGCAGTGTTATTTAGGCTGAAACCACATTACCTGTCTGAACGAGTTGTAACTTTCACCACTTAAGCTCACAACATACTGTTTTCTTCATCCCACTGACTTCCGACTCATCCGAAATTCATGGTGTGAGTTTTTGAAGGCTGTCAATAGAACCACTGTGTGAACTCTGACTGCACACTTTCTTATTAATCATTATTTGTGATGTAAGTAGTCTTCAGAAATTCCACGTATTTTCAGAGTTCTTCAAATACTATTTTCAAAATATCTTAGCTGAGATAGATGCAGAATACCATGATTCACAAAATACAATTCTCATTGAACTGATATTCAATTTTCTCACAATCTAGGTAATAGGCACATCATCTGGTCTCGCTGTGGTAACATCGGCTGTAAAATTATGGGTTCTGTCATCATGGTTACTGACTATCTTTCTGGCTGCGATAGCAATCACATTGGGATACCTAATGAAACAGCTGAGTGAGAAATGGTTCTATATTGTGAATTACGTAATATCTGGATTGATGCTTGCCGGTGCTCTTATGTTTGCCATATTTTATTCTCTTACACCTCGAGTAAGTATCTTTCTGAATAAATCAAATGATATCGGTTCTCATTCGCATAACAAGAAGTGATTACTCGTCAACCTTTTGTGGATATTTTAGTGAACATTGTTACTGTTGACTGAGAGTGAGTTTCAGACCATTTCACAACTTTGGGAATTCATCGTTTAATGTGATTGTTGGAGATCTAACCTGTCATTACTGGAGTAACCGAAGTCGCTGTTTCGTGATCATCTTTGAAGGTGAAACTGGATTACTTCTTCCATATATAACTGCTGTTTTGCTGTTGCTATTTTGATAAACCTTGAATTAAGGTTCACAGGTTAATAGAAAACACCGGGAAATCTGGACTGCTCCCACTGAGATACTACAAACGATAAGTCGTGGAATAAATAAGCAGTGGACATAATTCGTAGGTGTAAGCTGTAACTTCTAGTTATCCGTATATATATATGTATAACGAAAATTGTGTAAAAGTTGAAATTTTTAAATAATCTGTGATATATTGCCTCAGTTTCATCAGACTAAGCCCCATTTATCTTTTTATTTTCTAACTTCAGACAACTACAGATGCAGTTTTTGGTGTACTACTGGCACTCAGTTTAGCACTGGTAAGTTAATTTTTAATTTTAATCTTTAATTTTTTAATTTTTGATTACGGCTTGATTCCACACTGTATTTTTGGTACAAGTATGGAATTTTCAGAATGGATATCGGTAGCCCGAATTTCGCAGGCCGACCATAGATATCAGGTGTGCGTCGGCGGGTGCTTGAACCCCGCAGACTTTATTAGTCTTCTAATGCCTGTCAAATGTTCTCGTCCAAACTTTACCAACTTTCAGTGAGAAACATCTCTTTTACCTGTGATAAGTTTTTGATGAATGCACATTCAGTAAACATCTCAGGAAGACAATACTGATGTCTCATCATCTTATTTAAATGTAATGCCAACAAATCACAGGTGGGACTCATACTATATAGTTTTAAATATACTGACTAAAACCAGCGTGGTCAGATGTACGCTGAAGTGACTATGCGAATCACAAACTGATTCTTCAGAATGCACTAGTACGTATCACTGGATTAGTGAACATAAGATAGAAACTATTAGCTACTGGACTCTTCCAGATAATATGTAATTAAGGTATTTGTGTATACCATAAGAACAAGAAATTAGGTGTAATAAGGAGTATTTTCCATCCTTTCATTTTATTAGTAGCAATGCTTTCCCAATCTCTGGTATGTGTGCAAAATTATTTCTATTGCATGTGTTGGGTGTAGATTCATTGAACAAGGATTCAGTAATCAATCTCTCTCTCCACTTACCTATATTACTTATTAGAATTTTAATCCTCTACCATCCACTCTATTGTGTGGTTGTCTTTTAGTGCATGCAGTGCAATTTCTGAGCTATTTTCTAACATACTTAACCCCAGTGGGTCAGTGATTCTTGTCTTTGCTAAATTCTTATGTCAGGACAATCTGACTACCGCAGATATACTGGCGTGACTTTTGTAGTTGACTTAACCAACAGTCACATTGCTAAGTATTTTGTAAATTATATTGTTTGTCTAACTGAGTGAACCGACAGGATTCTTTAAGTTTGAATGCCACCGAGATTCCTGTTTTATTAAGAATTTCACCTAAAGTCTCAGATGTGCCCCCCCCCCTTTATGTGGTAGAACTGTATATGCCTTACATAATTTTTAATTTACGTAATCACTACTTAGTAAATTATAATTAAAAACAAATGAATTCCAAAATTTTATGTGATCAAGGGCGGTAATGTTGCTCGAAATATTATCAAAAGAAAACAAAACTTATCATTGTGTTTAAACTATTGAAATATAATTATAATTAATTTGATCTGTTCTACAATGCTTAAACGTTTTACTGACATTAGTTATCATTATTGCTCTCACTATTATATCGCGTTTTATTTTGACCTTTTCTGATCTTCCTAATGAATTTGAAAGGATAGTTATTTGATACCAACCCTTCTATCTGCTTCATTTTATCATTTAGGTTTTATATTGTACTACTTAATGATATTGCTCAGTTTGTTAGACACTTAACTAAGTCTGCCTCCACAGATAACGGATGAGACGAATCAAAGTCTAAATATCTATTACAATGCGTTGACTTTTTGTCAGCACTAGTGTGCAGTTTGCCTTTGAATGAGGAGAATTAGCTGTGTTAGATTGTCAAATAAATCTAACAGGAAATTTCCTCCTTATTGTAATGAATAGCATGTAATGAGAGCTTTTTAAATCTCATTAGCTTTCAGTCATTCACACTATTTAGTTTAACAAGTTAAAGCCTGTTACTCGGAACTAAAAACTCATTTATAATGAAAGGCGTCAAGTGAATATTCAGAATGTAACAGAAACTAACAGAACTCAGATGTGCTGATATAAACAGCGAAATTGATATTGAGTTGGTAATTCCTCTCACATAATATATGCATCCATATAAATTCATGCTTACCTCTGTTTCATTTTTTTTGCTGAATGTGTAATAGGCATTATTTCTTAATGGACAAAGTCTGAAACATTGCGATGATTCGATGGCGAATTCTTTCCTACCAGTCAGACTGGCTCTGGCTACTTGGTCATTGATGGCTTTGCTATATCTGTTCATATCAATTAGCAATCTGCAATCTACCCTTCTCAACTGCTCACTCAAGATGTAGACAAATTCTCTGTCTTGAACATCCTCTGACTATCGGACCGTCAATTGTTTTTTTCTTTTAGTGGTCGTTGTTGAAACAATAAACACGCACGATATATTCTCCTGTGTCATTTTTATTCACTTGACTTCAAACAAATGATGAACCGACTTCACTAAATGTTAAATGGAGTTAACAATGATCAGCTCACACGATAATTCATGCTTTTATTGCTCTTGATGAATTTGAAAAAAAGGAAGAACAACAGTGTGGTTTGTGCAGAATAATACGGTATCATAACTGTTTGTCTTTTTGGTTTCTCATCAGCTGCTGCTTACAGACTAAATAAATTATTAAGTTGATGTGCAGAAAAGCTTTAATATATATTTGCGAATTTTACATGATGTCAGTTGACAGACTATGTACTCACAAAGAAGCATGTATTAATCTTTACTTGCCTTAGTGACTGGATGTCTTTATTCTCTCTCTTTCATTTGATTACATAGTCTTCGGCTCAAATCTCATCCCCTTTTCAGTATACTGCAATTCGTCTTTTCTGATGTTTCTATGGTTTAAGTTGAACTCAGTACACTCTTACCTAGTTTATTAGTCACCCATCATCTGACGCACCTGTCATCTTTATTAAGTAACTTCTTTAACATTGTATGCATACATTTTATTCTTTTTGAATATGAACCGTCTGCGTAAAAAGTATAAAGGCGTTGCTTTCTGAGCACAGTTCACTAAGTCTGGAACGTCCTGCCTAGTGGCAGTTTTTAAACATTGCATGTACTTCAACACTTTTCTGTACATCAATTTAATAATTTATTTAGATTGCGAGCAGCAGTTGATGAGATACTGAAGAAATAATTGATGTTACTACGCTATTCTGCTATAAATGTTGTTCGCGCTTTATTCAAAAATTAAAACAAGTGTACAGCCGTATATATACGATTATGTGCACCTCTGTGCAACATATACATTAGAAAATGTACTATATCTACTTCAACAGCAGTGTGACATATATTTGGACAGCTAAACGCTCTCCACCCATCGATTCATTTACCGGCTGACAACATTTTATTATCTTACCTAGCTTCCTAGTCCATAGTAAGTCCATAAGAAAAGGAAGTAGCCTGACACTAGCAGCCTCTTTTTATCAAAAGAAAGCCAAAGTTGTAAAAACGTCAAAGCTTTATATACTATTTCATATCGAACTCGTGGAATTCAGATGAGGAATCGTTATCTTCAAATATGTTTGCGTATATTTATGGTAACACTGATCTAAAGCCGCAGAAAAGGACTTCATACGACGTTTGACTTGTGAAGGCCCGAGACAAATACTCGTTTCTTCTAAATACCGATTTATAATTATGCAGTGAATTTACATAATATCATGTGATGAAAATGAATCAACTCGCCATTAGTCAGTCATATGCTTGTTCTAAAGATCACTTGTGACTAAACATACTGGTTCAAACAGCGATAAATACAGTTGCCCACTAAACTAATTGTGGTTCATCAGATAATAAAAATGATACATGTGCAGAGGGAATTTTAGTAGTCGCTTCATCATTCACCATCTAATTACTTGTTCTTTCCTGTTACTAACCTTAAAACCTTAAATCTTTCTATTCTTTACTGATCTATCATAACGCCACCCCCAAGAAGACAATATCTGCCGTATTTAAAATGCATTCTCTACTTAAAACAAACCTAATCATACCTCAAAGGTATTCTGCTAAACAATTCCCCCGGATTGTATAGATTGAATTTATACTACAATTTTGCGTCTTAATCACGACGTCTACTTTCGTCTGTAATGAATAATCAAGTCAGAAAATACCTCATTTTCGCTTTGCATATCTGTGGATACCTAATTGGTTTCGATTCTATTTCTGAACTACATCACGATGTTTATATTCGACAATGACATTCTGAGTCAACATATCGTACTCAACGTCTTAACTGCAGTGCCTATGATGGGGATTTCGAGTACACAGACGAAATGAATTTAAATTCAATTTCTTTTATAATTTCTAATATTCCTGATTTACAAAAATGTTCAATCTGACTTTTGTCATTGTAGGAAAAGTACCTGAACGCGTTCGTTTAGCGAGTAGATTCCTGCTTAAGGCATTTTAGTTTGTTCATTAGATGTATCACACAATGACACAGTATTATTTACTGATTGACACAGTTTCGAACAAACTTTATTGTTCATAATCATATCAATTGTAATCACACGGCTTTGAAACTTGAGTTTTATAGTTTTCTTTCTCCTCGTTGGGGTAGTAGAATTTCCCAGATATCTGGGTGGATAGGTGTTGAATCATTTCTATTACACTTGTTGGTGGTTGATTCGATAAACAAAGCTTCCGCTGTCATTAGTCTCTCCCTCCACCCTGTTACATTAGATTTCAAAACCGTCATCTTATCCCATCGTAATGTATGTTTGTGTGTAATTGCATGTAGTTAGTGGTATTATTATTATCATATCCTTTATTTCCTATAGAAACATAGGGCTCCAGCTGCGCTTCTCCATTGCGTTCGGTTTTCTGCCAACGTTTTTGCCCCGCTCCAAGTCTGGCAACATGCTTTCCTCTCCTTTTCACATGACCGCCTCCAAGTCACCCTCACACCGACGACCAACTCGCCGCTTCCCATTCTGTCGGGTTCCATTCGAGCAATGGCTTGTCTAG